AAAAGAATCATGGAAATCGGTCCACAAATGTCAGAGCATTCGCGTAACATATACACACACAAAATGTAGTCAAATTGAGAACACCTCTTTTTGAAGCGCAACAGTAGTGATATTTCGGTCTACGGTACTATTTACGTACAGTCTTTTTTTATGAGACTAAATGACAGGACGAAGAAGTCGCGCACTTAGTGGTAAGTGATTTGCCCATAACATTTGCAGTACCACTCAGTGTTTTAAATCACAAAGATCTGAAGGACACTGCCACTGCGTTCGTCACCCTGAAACATAAGTTGACAAGTCTCATGTGCCTGTATTTTCACCAGTACCCTCCATTAACCGGAACGCTGTAAGTATGTGGCATTACTTCCCTGGACGAACTCTTTCACAAGGAGCTCCACGGTACATAAATACAAACACTCCATGAACGGATTAAGTACATGCGATTTGCAACAAAGAAGAAAGAAGACAACATTTTAAGTTTAACAAAAAATCTTAAGTTTACGAACGCGTGCATCGAAAGTCCTGGAACCAGTAATCTGACGGTGTACGGCATGGCATTACACCTACACCCTACACCATACGCAACAACAGATGGGATGCCGCATATATAGGTTAAGATGACATCTGAAGATGCAGACGCAGATGCGAATATTGTGTCGTTGAAATTTGCAGATGCGGATGTGTTGATTAGTTTAAGACAATTTTACATAATTTTAATACAAAAGCGATGAAACATAGAAGGCATAGAAATATATATTAAATTAACATCTTCAGGGGTTTGAAGGATTGTCGGGGATGTTTCCTGAAGTCCGCATTGATGATTTCTTCGCGATCATGCGTAAAAAGGCGAAAACCCTGAGATGCCGATTGCGCTGCAGCACCAACGACGACCTGAACATGATTACGACATAGGTTAGGTTAGGTTAGGTTAGGTTAGGTAGGTTAGGAACTATTTAAAGGGGTATAATTCATACCCGGAACTAACGGCTTGGCAGTTTCCGATCGGTAGAGGCAATCAAAATCAAGCTGCTGGTTGTTATATTGTGCTTTTTGATTATATATAAATAAATACCTAATTAAATAAATTACTTGGTAAACTCATTTTTAAACAAAATTGTTACTAATTAATTACTAATAAATATTACTATGGACGATATCTGAAATAAATAATATTTTATTTTATATTATTTTATAGAAATATTTCATTTACTAATGGGTAGGTACTTAAAGTTTTTAAGGATTATTATAGGGCCGTCCTTTATGGGAATCGAGATAGGAATCTTGAAAAAAAAACGCAATATTTTTTGTACAGGTACTGAATTCTCGATTCCTGATTGGCCAATTAACACTACTACTACGCACGCGCTTTGAGTAGGGCCTACTACCGACGATCATGTCATGACCTACAAAACATCCGTATCCGCAAAAACTCGCCGAAGCGATTGATTCTGATGTCGGATGCGGAAGCAGATATTTAAAAATGTGCGGATGATTCGTAGTTGCGGATGCAGATGCAGACGTTTGCGGCATCCCTAGTAATTAACATTTTTGTCTTCTAAGTCAGCCGCAAATCACAAGACTTGACATTAGAATTAATCTTTGGGAAAACAATTCAAGAGCATAACCTACTTACTAATTGTACCTGTGCTTGCATTGCTTGGGTACTACATTTACACACTTAACACGAAACATTTTGCGGCCTATTTTATACATTTTACGTTATTTTTTCTTCATTTTGGATAATTTTTATATTTCGCTTCACTTTTTGCAAGTTTTCTCTATTCCATTATTATTATTATTAGCATTGTTGTAAATAGGATGAAAAATCATTGTACGTAAATCCTTTCCATAGTCTAAGATGTAAATGGGACAGAATGGCGGTGAACCAAACAACGTTGTCACAGATACAATATAAATTGTCTCTTAGGATGTTTAAAGAGGTTTACTTTGTTATAGAAAAGAATAATCTTATTATACAAGATGCCAATGAAATAGACACCAAGATCCATACTAACAACCAATGATATTATACTTGTAAACATTATGCTCACTGCTAACAACACAATAATATTATACGTGTAAACAATAGATGCGCAATCGGTCTCCAAACGGTACCCATGCCACGGTTGCCTGCAGGCAACAGTATCAGTATCAACACCATCTTGAATTCGAGTGAGTATAACGTCACCGAGACGTGACAAAAAAGTATAAAAAATGGTGAAATATGTAATAAAATTTGCAATTCTCGGTTCGAAAATGGTCATAAAACTACTGAGGTTACTTTGCACAGGTAAGTTTGTTTTTGTTTATTTAGATTGTCGTAAATAAAAATGAAATAAATTTATTTTAAACATCAATGTTGCTAGTAAATTAATTTTCTTTTGCCCTTAATATTGGAAGTTAACCTTTTCGAAGTTACTTTTGACTTCGTACTCAAAAGTTATTCTAATTCAAGTTTATTCGTTGTAACGTTTTAAAGTGTAACCATTTAATACGTAATACTATTAAAAATGATATTTTGTTTGTTTCTCAGAATACCTAAAGATCGAACGCGCAGGGCGGAGTGGATAAAAATTATACAACTTTTACGAAAAGTTGCTTTGAGTAACAAAACACAATGCAATTTTACAACAAGCTAATGATGCACAGTGGCGTTTAATAATTTGTAATAAACTATAGTTCAATGTTTGTGTATCAAGCAATTAGTAATACCTACCCTTTTATAAATTTTTGTTAAATAGAAACCGAAACTTTGTCGTAAGACAGTATTTTTATCACCTTTATCCAAGAAATAAAAAATACTAGCAAAACAATGAATTCCTTAGATTAGAAAGTCATCTCTTCATATTTACAATTTATTTGAAAGAAATTTGGGGAATTTATCGCTCCCCTAACGAACTTTTAAACGGCCTCGTGAACTTCGTGAATGGCGATATAATTATAATGTTCGTGGTTTTTACAAATAGCTTTTTATCAAACCGGGCAAACAATTTGCAATCGCTGACCATTTACGCAACTAAAAACTGTCAAACATTTTCGGCAAGTGTGACTTTCTCCTTGGCGGCTCTCGTCCAAAGAGACTGCCTCAGCCAGCCGGTGATAATAGGCGGCGTCTAAAGCCGCCACACCACAGAGTGAAGAAACCGAACTTAAAAACAAAAATTTGCCTATTGAACAAAATCACTAAAATCTTTAAAACGCACATGCCTTCCTGACCGGGTCGTGTGCGGAGTGCCGGGCGAGGAGGTGGTTGGTTTATCTGAAGGAACTGAAGATGGCAACTGCGGCGGGACTGTAGCCGGGGGATACCTAGTCGGTGGCACAGCAGGTGGGGGTCGGAAGCCATCGGTGACACCAGCATCGATGTTTCACACGATCGATGGTCTCGCAGCGGAAGGTCTCGCCGAAAACGAGTTTCGCTGATGACGCATTGATGTCCTCCTCAAAAGCTGTCCGCATGCCGAGAAGCGCCAGAGGCTACGCTCTCGTCCACGTATCAGCGTGACACATGAGAACTGCCTTGAGCTGACGATGGAGACGTTCCACCATGCCATTCGCGCAAGTATGGTAACTGGAGGTGCAAATTCTTTTCGTTCCGCAGAAATCCATGAGTCACCGAAATAGCGCCGACTCAAATTGACGCCCTTGATCGGTGACGCTAGTGCTAGGAACACCGAAACGGGCAATCCATCCTGACACTAATTTGTCGGAAACTTCTTCTGCAGTTATCGTCACCATCGGCCAAGCCTTCGGCCACCGTGTGTAACGGTCTATGGCGGTCAAACAATAACTGAAACCGTTAGAACATGGAAGTGGGCCGATGATGTCGATGTGCAGATGACGGAAACGACTGGTAGGTTGATCAAATCGACCAACAAGTGATTTAACATGTCGCGATACCTTGCTTCTCTGGCACTGAACGCAGCAACGTGACTCGCGACAATCTTTAGTGATACTAGGCCATACGTAGCAACTTGCTACCAAGCATAAAGATGCCCGTGCACCAGGGTGGTTGAGGTTATGGCAACGGTCGAAAGCAGGTCGACGGAACGGCGAAGTGAGGTAAGGTCGAGGGCGACCGGTTGAGGTATCACATATTAGAGTGATGTTGGTGCCCGGGATCACAACCTGTTCCAATTTCAAGGCCGATCTTCCTTGCATTTTCGCCAACTCTATGTCAGACATTTGAGACTGAGCTAGTGCGGTGAAATCGTCTTCGAGTGAAATCGCATCGATGCGGGATAAAGTGTCCGCGACGACGTTATCTTCACCCCTAACATATTGAATGTCAGTTGAAAATTGGCTAATAAAAGATAGCTGGTTCAGTTGCGGTGGAGGTAATTTTTTACTACATTGTACGAAGGCGTACAGCGTGGTTTACGGTCAGTATATATAGGCACGTGTTGCGCTTCGAGAATGTGGCGAAAATGTTGTACGGTTTCGTACACCGCCAGCAATTCCCGATAATAAGCAGGCCACTGAGCTTGCCGAGGAGTCAATTTCCTGCTGAAGAAAGCGAAGGGATTCCAGGCACCGTCCACCTGTTGCTGAAGGCAAGTACTAACATGGACATTTGATGCATCGGTAAATAATCCAAGGGGTGCATCCATGATCGGGTGTTGCAATAACGTGGCACTAGGTAGGCTGGCTTTACAGGCTTCGAAATGCTCGAGAAGCTCCGGCGTCCATGAGAATAGTTTAACGCCCATGCCATTGGCAGAGACGACAGCGTCAATTAAGGGAGCCTGAAATTTAGCAGCCTGAGGAATAAAACGTCTATAAAAATTTTACATGCCCAGAAAACGGCGCATACCCTGTACGGTTTTGGGAGGAGGAAGGTCCAGTAGGGTTTGGATTCGTTCTTGAGGAGGGCGAGTGCCATCGGGAGTTACAACGTAACCCAAAAATCAGGCGTCTCTTACTCCAAAATTGCACTTGGAAGAGTTCAAAACAACACCATAATCATGAAGACGCTGGAAAAGATTCCGCAGGCGGTCCTTGTGGAGAGCCTCGTTCTTAGAGAAGATGAGGATATCGTGCACATAAGGAAAACAGAAATCCAAACCCAGTGTGACCTCATCGATGAACCTTTGGAAGGTTTGACCCGCATTCCTCAAACCGAAGGTCATGAATGGGAATTCGAAGAGGCCCAATGGAGTGGTAATAGCTGTCTTGGGAATGTCCTCTTGTGTCACAGGAATTTGATGATAAGCCTTTACCAGGTCAAGGGTGCTGAAAATGGTGGCCCCGCCGAGGCTGCTGGCATAGTCATGAATATGCCTCACCAGGTAACGATCCGAAATGGTCCTGGCATTCAGACTACGATAATCGCCGCAAGGGCGCTAGGTGCTGTCCTTTTTCAAGGTCAAGTGCAGCGGAGACGACCACGGGCTATCTGAAGGCCTTGCAGTACCGGAGCGCACCATCTCTTCAATTTCTTTTTTAGCGTCTGCTAGTTTTTGAGGGGCCAAACGACGGGGCCGGCGCCAAGAAACTGGTGGGCAATCTGTGGTTTTGATGTAATGCAGAGTGTTGTGCTTGACGACTCTCGGAAGACCAGGCGGTTTGGTAATTTCCGGGAAGTCTAAAAGCAGGCGTGCAAATTCATTGTCAGAAACCACAGCCTTAACACTGAGTTGACTTATGTTACAGATGGAGGCAGGAACAGAAAGCCCGGTAGAACCATCTCGTAACAGTTTGTTGCGGCAGTCCGGGAGTAGATTGAAATAGGCCAGAAAATCGGAGCCAATGATAGCCGTCTCAACGTCTGCAATAGTGAAATTCCATCTGAATTCGCGACGGAGACCGAGATTAAAAGAAAATGTGCGACTGTCATATGTTTTTATACTGGTGCCGTTAGCGGCTCTAAGAGTATAATCGGAAACTTTGCATTGAGTCGACAGAAGTTTCCGAGGGAAACAGGAAAGGTCGGAACCGGTGTCAAGCAAGAATTTAAATTTGGTTACCTTGTCAGTGACAAACAGGCGGCGACCAGTGAATTGGCTGCAGTCATCTGTCACCATTACCGCTGACTGCTCCCTTGGTTTTCCGGAATCGTATCTGACCAGGAGCACGGCCGGACACATTTGACAGCTTTGCCTGGTACCGACGGTGGTATCTGCACAAGCCGTGAGGCATCGCGGACCTTGGTCTAGGGCAAGATCGGCGAGAACTGGATCTTGATCGCAAATGGCGTGTAAACAAAGCCGCCACTTGCTCGCTGAGTGCCTGCAATTCAGCAATGATGGAGACCAAATCATTGTTAAAAGGTGCGGGGCGATCACCATATGCCCCTGGAGCGGGTGATGGTTGCGGAGCCAAGGAGAAAGAGGGACCGGCGCGGGAAGGTTCATCCGCTAGCTAGCTTTGAGCTCTATGTTTTGTCGGAATAGTGACTCGTTTTGAGCCGCGAGCTTCTCAAGTTGTGCCTTCAATTCATCCATGACAACCACACCTCAGTTCGGATAATAGGGTTAGTGATAAAATATTAAAGAAAAACACTTACCGGCAGGTAAGTCAAGTCGGAAAAAAAGTTATAAAATACAAAATAAATACAAAATCCAAACGGTCGACGGGCGCGTGACTCGTAGATGACGTAGAACGCACGTTCGCACGTAACTGCTCACAAGTCGCAGTCCAGAAACTTCAGCGAGCGTTAGAAAGGAGTATGAGGCCTTCAATTTGTATTACTTCATCTTCTTCATTGTATTTTGAAATTTTTGTAAACTTTTATTTCTTGAGAAACGTAAAATCAAAGTCGTCAGACTTTTCACGCAAATGTTCGAGGCCGCCGAGATATCACGTCGGGGTCACCAATTCGGAGAATTTGTCGCTCCCCTACCGAACAATAAAACGGCCTCGTGAA